GTGTAAGATAAAGAAAAGAAAAAGAAGGAAAGAAACGGAGGAAAGAAGAAAAAAGGGCGCTTAAATTTAGTACTTATTTGGTACTAAAAGTTACTCATTTTGGATGCTTTAAAATTTCGACAATTTTCTGGAAGAGCCCCCCAGACCCCCTCACGCTCTCTTCCCCTGTTCGAGATATCTGAATCCGCCTATGACTTACATCCTAAAATTAGACGAGCTATTACGTCAACTAGCCGGCATTCTACTCGCTACCGTTCCTTACGTCGTTTCATATTCATTCAAAACGTGGGACATTCCACGGCCTCACGCGGAAAATGAGCGGATCCGGCGACTTGGGAGACAGGCCGTTGACGTTCATAAGGAGCTGTCAAGGCGCGGCCGCGTCGGAACTCAACTTTCGCAACGGAGCCGGAACACGCCTGCATCGGCCGAGGCCCAGGCGTCATTTGCGCCGCTAAACGAGCGAGAAAACAGAGATGGATAGAGAAAACAGAGACCGCGCCATCCCGCTCCGATTTCCACGCGGCGCGACGCGACATTTGAGAGCGGCGGCGGCGACGCCACGGAACGCACCGAGGTGGCGGGAATCGAGAGCGCTCCAACGCGTCGCGACGCGACGCCACGGCCAGGCCGCCGCCGAACGGAAATGCTGCCTCGCCGAGTCTTTTCCGGGGGCCGTTGTCAAATTTGGATGGAAAGCCCCCGGTGATATCAATACGTTAGGTGCATGCAAGGAAATTTTCATTATTTTCTGGTTTTATTGCAAAAAGGGTTTTCATCAACGTCTAAATTTCGCCGCTCTTCTGGCGTAAGGGCCTACCTGAATTTCCGCATGAGCCCCCGAAAGCGTGAATTTGTACGTAAAATAGGGCTCATAGCAAAATTGAGATACGCCCTCATATCAGAGGGGTGACGGTTTGTATGCATCTGGTCCCTCCTTTCAATTTTGATACGTACAGACGCTAGTGGTAATGTCGCTGTAGGAGGGCTTCACAGTTTCATCGCATTGGACCCTAACAATATTATTGACATCTCTTTCGTACTACCAATGAAAAAAGCCCATTGCCTGAAAATTTCTCCAGCTACGCCTAAACGTTGAGAAACAAGCATCAGTTACGGGGACTGAAAGTGGGCTCACACGGAGAAAAAAAACTCGTGCGTGGGACCCGAAGTTTAGGTCATATGGATCTCTGAAGTTTTCAGATTGAGCATCTGAACACTTTAGGTCTAGCTGCCGAAGTTCGGATCATACATCTGGAACTTCAGTTCTTACATCTGAAGTACTTCGGTTCTTACATCCGAAGTACTTCGGTTCTTACATCCGAAGTACTTCGGTTCTCACATCTGAAGTACTTCAGATGTAAGAACTGAAGTTTCAGATGTATGATCCGAACTTCGGCAGCTAGACCTAAAGTGTTCAGATGCTCAATCTGAAAACTTCAGAGATCCATATGACCTAAACTTCGGGTCCCTCGCACGAGTTTTTTTTCTCCGTGCATATTTAACACCCAAATTTTTCGGTTTAGATAACCTAAGTTATCGGTAATGTATGCAATATCGTTACAAATTTCTACGTTTGATCTCTATGACCAACAAATTCAGTTACAAGATTTGAAAAACTTAGGTGTCCACACGGAGAACAAAACTTCGTGCATAAGACCCGAGGTTGAGGTCATATGGATTCTGAAATTTTCGGATCCCGCATCCGAAAACTTGAGGTCCAGCTGCAGAAGTTCGGGTCAGACATCTGAACTATACTCAGGTGCATACCGAAGGGTTCGGGTCACACATCTGAGTACTCCGGTACTTACCGAAGTAATTCGAATGTCTGACCCGAACTTCGGCGGTTGGACCTCAAGTTTTCGGATGCGTGATCCGAAAACTTCAGAGATCCTTATGACTTCAACTTCGGGTCCCATGTACGAAGTTTATTTCTCCGTATACATACCCACATGGGAAAATTTGTGTGAATTTTCTGGGGTGGTAAGTCAGCATTTGGCAACCAAGGCTGTGGACCGTCTCGTGAAACGTTTCCATCAAAACGAGACCAGACACCGGAGCGTTTACGGTGCGAAGAAAACGACTTTCCCAGCGCATGGAAGCGGGCGCGCGGCGTCGGCGCGGAGCTTTTGCGGTGCGGCGCGACCAATGGCGGCGGCGCCATCCGCGTCGGGCCGGGTTTTCGCGCACTTTCTCGGCGAGTCGTAAACGGGGAACGCGGGGCCCTCGGAAAGGCCCGGCGAGGAATTACGCGCGTCTGGCAAACCGCGGGAGCCATATTGTTTCAGCGTGCCGGGGACAATGGGGCCCGCGAGCGGGGCCGATTCGACTCGCGCTGGGCCTGGATCCGATGGCGCCAAAGCCCCTTGGTCACGCTCGCCACGCTATTGTCCGCCGATCAAGTTTCAAATACTCGGCTGTCATTATCATCGTCATCGCCACGGCGACTACCACCGCCACCACGTCGTCGTCGTCGTAATCAGTATCGGCACTCTCGTGAACTCGGCGGCCTCCGCTGCAACCGCAACCACCAACGACACATAGGTAAAACACCGAAAATAAAGGATGGTGATTCAACATTCTGGACGTAAAAAAGTGTGCAACAACTCTCAAAACGTAGAATTAACCGCTAGAAACAGTAACTTTTCATCTTGACATTGTTAAAGTATAGCTGCTGTAAGCTGTTAATTCAGCGTTTTGTGAGTTGTTGCACTTTTTTACGTCCAGAATGTTGAATCACCATCCATGGTTTCGGTGAAGATGTGTTAGCGGTGACTAGATGTCTGATTATTTCTGATTCCCAAAAAATCTAAAATTTTAAACCCTGGACTATCGGAACTAATGAGGCAGTCGGCTGTTTCGGATAACGCGAAGATTACTACTGCAAGCTCAATTTGAGTGTTAGTGGCAACCTCCTCATTCAGTTTTTACAGTTAAATTGTGCAATCGGTCTCTGCAAACGAAAACTTCTGTTGTCTGCTGTGAGAACTTCAGTGCACCATATGAACCGAAGACTTTTTCTCAGAATTCAAAAGCATGCCGAGAATCTTAAGAATTTCTAATGAGAGTCACAAGATAGATTGAATAAATTAAGTGCAACTTTGATGATTTTCCTTTCAGTTCAGACTTTTCAACACTTAAATATTTGATAATTTTCGTGTTATAGCTGCGTTTTTGTGTTAATGATTCAAAAAAATCAAAATAACCTCTAAATTTTTTTGTGACGTGCATTGTATAGTGTTTTTAGCCTTTTTTCCACTGTTTTTTGTCTCATCCTAAATTTTTTTGCTTCCAGCATTTTTCCCTATCCTTTTCTTATTTTTTTTTTACCGTTTGAAATAGAAGCAATAATACGGTTAAGCATTCTCAGTAGGTAACATGGTCCCATGTTTATTCATCTTGAGGACAGCTATAAAAAAATCTATCAATAAAATAATGAGGGAATGAATCAAAACGATTCGAGGTATGACGTCCTCGAGCGATACCAAAAAGGTACGGGCAAAAATCGGTGCCAACGTACACAGTTTCCATCGCTCTGGAAAGCAGGTTGATGGGAGCAGCTTTGAAAAAGCGTTTACATCGTAGCAATCTTTACGAGAAGCAAGTTGACATCAAGGACCGAGCATTTCAATGTAAACGGCTTTTCGCGACAGCCTTCAGGGTCACATCAGCGACTCGTCCACCGGATTTCAATCCCGTTTTTTTTCTCACGCACAATCAATTAGCACCGCGGTCGCGAATCGCGGAAAGAGAGGGCCCCCGACGGGCGAGAGGGGGTTGTAAGGGGAGGGGAGGGCCTCCCGGATCATGATTTATGCGTCGAGAATCGAGGCTGCCGGCGAAATGATGCGACACTAACGGCTGTGAAACGACCGGGAGACGTGGACGGACGAGAAACCACGACGATGAATCCGAGCTCGAGTGAAGCGGTGGCCGGCGACGAAAATTTGATGGAACTGTCGGCTGTCGTTTTGGCCGAACGCCAAAGCTCCAGGATCGGATTCCAGGAAGCATTTGAAATGGACCGTTAAAAATCCCATTTTCCCAACCCCGGGAGATTGCCACCGGGATGCCCGTCAACACGTATTAGTATCGAGAGGGAAGCGCAGATTTAAAAAAAAAAAAAAAAAAAAAAAAAAAAAAAAAATTAATCCACTGTATCTACGAATTGAAGGGACAGAGAGTCAAAGGGGCTAAATTGCTTTATATCAATTTTAAGTTAATGTAATGTTTTCTTGTCCATTAAGAGGTGTGTACCTATTTGACGTCGAGAATTTAAGAAAACTCTTTACTAAATGCATGGTACACTTTTTTCCATACATGTATGGGAAAATGCTTGGTTTAAAAAGACAATTTGATATCATTCTGGAATAAATTAAGAAAATTGTGGCGAAAAAACTTCGCAAAGTTGCAATTCAATCGACATCCTACAGCTCTTACCCCTCGATTAACTTGGTTGATATTAAATATGTTTTTGTGAAGATATTTTTTCAAATCCTTTAGTCATTTCGATGAAAAATGTATAATTCGTATTGATTTTGTTACTTTTAAGACTTTTAAAATAATTGTATTATGACCGTAATTTTTTTTTTTACTTTTGTTGCTGACGAATAAAAGTTTTGATAAGGAAGCACTTATATTTTAGCACTAATGTGAAAGTTAACGAGATTTTCCAACACTAAATCGAACAAGACAAAAATGTGAGCATGCCTCTGAAACTAAATGCATAAGAGTGATTCCGAAGAGGGAAGAAACCAACCAATCCCAGTGCTAAGGAACGAAAATTTAATGTTTTTTAGGTATGTCCGTACGCAAGGGATGAAAAGCTTAAGACTGTTTTTGCGGTTAAAAATCCAGATGTACTCTTTAAAAACACATCAAATTAAACTTCAGCCACTGTGCTAGTTTTTAATAACCACACACGTTGCAATTCGTGGGGAATTTTCGATTGGTTTCCTCCGTTAAAAATCAATAAAAAATAAGATAAAATTGAAACTTACCATGTGAGTTTTGCCTCGACATGTAGTCTTCTTTACACATAAATCTATTATTTTCTAAAACATAAAGCTCCTCGCCGGTAGACAGCTGCTTCCGACAGTGCATACACGTAAAACAATTTAAATGAAACACCTTTTCCCGAGCTTTTCTAACTAAGTCGTTGGGAGGAATCCCTTCACCGCAACCACCGCACTTCGTGCCGTAACGCCTGAAACACAAAGAAAAACAACTCATGAGTAAAGTGAATTTTATATTCGTTAAGTTTATCTTTTTTGACCTACATTTATTATATTTTTAAGCAATTTTGACTAAATGATAAGTGGACTGCATCTCGCAAATTATTAGGAACTGCAATTTCTGACTCAGCTTAAAAACAACGCATACGTATCATTAGTTCCCTTATGAACATAAGTGTTTTACAGATGATCCAAAAATTTTAGTTCTTGGTTGCAAAATTTAGTTGAAGAAAAATTCTCTAAAAAGTTGAAAGAAATAAAGGGCTTGGAGGACAAGGCGCATAAGTGCAGTTTTCGCTATTTCGAAAAATACGTGTTTGAAGTTTCAGTATTACACGGATTCTGAAGGCGGAAAGAAAGTTTGAACTGACTTTTTCATGCTTAAAAATCGGAATTTGCAGCAAATTTTTCACCAAATATGCATTTTTACTAGTTTTACTCAAAATAATTAATTTCTCAATTTTTCTAAAATCTACGCCTATGCGACATGGCCTCCAATCCCTTCAAATGTATTAACATCCATTTCCAAGAAATTGCGGTTTTTAAAAGAAAAGTTGTCAACACCTGAGGGCCGATATGGCTATTTTCCTGTAGACGGCAGTATGTGCGCGTAACACTGCATGCGTTGAGATGCAGGACTCGGCACGCAGAAACGAAGTTGCATCGTGGCTCCGGAGCCCGGCCTCGTAAAAGCATTAACAACTGCGTGGAACTTTGCAATTGCCACCGGGTTGCGCAAAAATGAGTGATGTAAATCAATTTGATCTACGCGCCGGGGCCCATTGTCATTCCTGCACGGGTTATTATTCAGACGTCTCCGCAACTGCACATGCAGTAGCGCCCTTCGGGCCATTGTCATGGAAACGAGGATGAAGGGATGCATGATGCATCGGTGCAGTCTCGCAAAATAAACTCCGTCACTCGTCAAAGTCAGCGTGCCCTCAGGATTCGAATATTTCAGCGGGAACTCTGCGAATTCCGCTGAGCCGGGGTTTTAGATGGTTGGCACTGGATTGTAGATGAAGAAAGGTTTACGTTAAAGGTGGAGATTCCTACTTGGAATTCTTTGGCTGGAGAAATGAAAGAGCGAGCTGAAATTTCTGAGGGTCATGGTGAGTGAGGGTCTTTTTTTTCATATATCGTAACGATGCCCATGCAGACCGTCCACAGGGAAGGGTATTTTAGTCCCTAAAGACATTTAGTTACTACCTAAAGACTTGTAGTTACTAAAAACATTTCAAGACAGTGATAAATTAAGAGTCAAAAAACTAAGAACTGCATTTCATTATCCTCTGTGGCACTATGAATTAAAATATAAATTAAAGTAACTGAATGTTTAAAAGTGAATTTTAAAAAAAAAAAGTCAACTTCCTTTGTCAGGCCTCCAACTTTATTTACTACAAAGAAAGCACGCTCTGATTTTGAAACTTTTTAATTTCTTTGATTATTGTATCTTATGAGATGTTCGGTTCAAGGGATGACCGTCAAATCATTGTCAACGTGGGATCGAACCATATCTCATCACTGGACAGTCCCTGGTGCGTCAGATACATCTTTCAAGCAATTTTGAAGGTAATTTGAGCTCGCAAATTTGCAAATAAGTACACGTACGCACCAGCATCGATTAATCTTCATGTGTTCCTCCAACGCACGAATGTTTTAATTAGAAACAAAACATATTTCGATGGCTAAGGAACAACATTGCGCTTAGCAAAAAATTGACAATTTAACAGGCCAGGGAAAAAATCGCCATTTTTGTGTTTTGCGGCTAAATTTTTCAATTTTTTCATACATGACGCGGCATTTGAAAAAAAAATACGGCCATAAGCTTACGCATTTGATAGTGAGGAATGCAGCAAAGTAGCTAACTCATTTTCGCTTAAATTGTCAGTTAAACACTCTGTTCATTAGCCCTCAAACTCCAAAATTCTTCGTTATGGATTCCTCGATTTGATGGATCACCAGGTGGGAATTTTAGACTCGCCGTGCGCATTTTCCCAGTAACTATTTCACCGACAGTACTTCTGCACGCGGGTTGAAAATCATAGTTGGAATGGGATCCCGGCGAGGTGTTAACAGATCCGAATGCCCATCCGAGCGCCGAATCGCCCGCGGCTACGGCTAATGTTGATGAGCTCTCCGCACACGAACGGAGCCTACTGAATAATGATAGTAATAAAAGCACGAGGCGCAAGCAGAGCGCTCCGTCGCGTTGGGGGAGGAGAAGAATAATAAAAAAAAAACACTGGGAGGGGGTCGGGGGCCGGGGGAAAAGGGCAGCGCCGCGCGGGGAATTGAATATATTCGGGGATAAATAATTACTGCTCTCGAGTTTTGAGGAGTGATAGACAAAAGTAAGTTATCTGCCCCTCGGTGGGGGGGGGCGGAAGAAGCGGTCGTGGAGTGCACCGCCCCGCCGGAATTCGAGTGAAAAGAAAAGGCACCCGCGAAGCACGGAAACAAAATGGCGGCGCGTTCTTTTATAGATTTTATTTTCTCAAGTCGCGGGCGGCCCTCGGCGAACTCCCCTTTTTTCAGTTACCATATCGCAGGGGCTTAGGGAGTAACCCCAACCCCGTCTGAAAAAGCAGATAAGCCCGTCTTCTTCTCCCCGTCTTGCGAGTCGCGACCCTTAGCCCTTGCCCGTCTGCCGGGGCGTTCGTCTTTATTTTTCCTTTGCCTCGCTCGCCCTATGTCTCTTCTTCGGCTCTCTTCTTTTTTTTTTTGAACGTTTATCTCTGGTTTAGCCTTTGCCTCCGCCTTTCAAAAGGGCGACTGCCCCCTCACTTCGGTGCCGATGGATTCAAGTCGTGTGAGCTTCGTGTAATTTATTTGCCCGATGGTCCGATCCCGCTTTTAATTTTTTGTCAGCGGAACTATTTTACTGTTCCTCCATTTTTTTGTTTTGTTTTGTTTTTTATTATTTTAAACTAAGGCCCTTGAACGCTTCGCAGTTCAACCTCCCACATAGCTACGCACTTTCGGTGCGTTATGCGTTAATCTAACGCTCTTATGTTATAGAAAAAGGTATTCAGGCATTTTAGTAAAAAGGCTCAAAGCATTTTACGCCCATTCTGCAGAAAACGTGTACTCTGAAACCTTACGACATCACCTATTCAAAACCACTCAGTTGTTGCACGGCCTGGGGCAAATAATCGAGAAGGACGCGTCAAATATATTTTGCGGGAAAAACTTTTTTCGGGTAAAAAAATGTATGGGTCTTTATTTTGTAGAGGCTCTTTCTCGTTGGGCTATTTTCCAGTTGTTTAAAATTTTTGCTTCGACGACAATCAAAACTATTTCTGCTCGAATTAAGTTAATTTTCCCCCATGTATACGTACTATCATTTGGACTGCATTTTGCAATCTGGAACTATAAATTCTGGCTCTTCTGGAAAAACACTTATGTGTATAGGGAAACTAATGGCACATACGTTGTTTTTAAACCGGGCCAGTATTTATAGTTCCAAATTGCAAAATGCAGTCCATTTAAAGTTCGACTTCTGACTTCGTATGCGAAGAATGCCAATGGCTCCACGTTCGGTCAAAATTGTAATTTATTTCTCTTTTCTTTTTTTTAATTTTTAAAGAATTTTTTTTTAAATCAATTATCTATGCATCGTAACGAGATGCGACATCAAGGAAGAAAAAAAAACGATGGCAACGAAAAATATCTCACCGCCATCGTGAAGCTTTTCCTCTATATTCTAAGACCCGACGGATGCACCTCACTTCCGCAGAGGTGCCAAGAAGCAAGTGAGTATTTACCTATCGTCCGATTTATTCAATTAGGTGTGAGCAATTTGAATAGGTACCCTATTCGTCTGTCTTCATTACCTACCTCCGGACATAATAACTTCCTCTTCAAGATGAAGATAGCGCCGAACTGCGATGGGCTCGCTGCGTCCGGGCGGGGTCGCATCCGGTATCGCGCAATTAAATCCTCCCGAAATCTTTTTTACATATTTAACGTTTGGCTTCCGAGGGAGCCGCTCCAGTTTATTCGGCCGTCAAATTAACGTCCACAAAATTTAACGCATGTGACGCCTCTTTCCCAAACGGGGCTTCTCCGTCCTAGCTCCACGTGCCGATGCCGCTCAAAATTGTTTCACGTGTTTTCATTTTTTGAGGATGGGCTTTGCTGTCGTGCTAAGGTAAAATAAAATGCTGTGTGAACCTTCAGGCATTGCCAAATTTTCTTTGATAAAAGACGAATTTATCGGGAAATTTGTAAATGTTTTCCTTACAATGTTTCTACGTTATCGACTTAATCCAAAATATCTGAAACTTTCATGGGAAGATATTTTTGAATGAGTGAAGAAAATACATAAAGAATCTCGAGGAAAGTAATTGGTAAGGTTCCTTTTGAAAAATAAAATAGCATTGGAGATTTGCATGCAGCTGATATGATAAAATTGTTTGAAATGTTGAACTCCACATCCTCATTTCACGAAAACGAAAACAAAAAGTGAGGGAAGGAAAAACCGCAAATGACCCATTTTCACGTCGGAAACCTCATGGCAAACGTCGATTTCTTTATAGATAGAACATATCTATAAACTCGGTTTTACTTCCCTGCTGGCTTGTTTGGTTTTGATTGATTGAACGAGGGGCTGTTCCATTTTTTTCAAAGGATCACGAGAGGGGTAAACTTGTAGGATAGGGTGCGAATCACTTTTCACATTTATCGCAATCAATCACGCAATACTGTTGGCGCCGTCGTCGCGCGATCGGTTGATTGTAAAGCACGTGTTTGACTTGGTTTTTGCTTAAATTTCTTCATTATTGTGGAAGCGCTCATTCATGAACATTCTTATGGCCACCTTGGTTTGATATTGGAACTTGAAGACTGGCAGTGACATTTTTTGTGTTAGAAAGTTGGTTGCCCTTGAGTGCTCCATATTTCGTACCCCCTCTATAGGAACTCTACTTTAAAGTTTAAACAGTTTTTCTCAACTTTTTGCTAATATCTT